TGCCTTATGCAATCCCCAGTTGAGATGAAGACAGTCACTCCTGACTCGGCCCTGGAGCCGCTCGCACAGTGAACAGTCCCTCGCTGTTTTCTGTCCACTGTCCACCCTGCAGCAAACCGTCTTTCAACCTTCCCTTAACCCTCCACAGTCATACCGAATACCCTCCACTTTCTGAACTCACCCTCTTCGCGCCTTTTTCTCCCTCTGGCAAGTCCATTCACTTGGCCTATATTTCACCACCCGCCTGGCAGAGTGGCTGCCACTGTCTCCTGTTCGTCTTCTGTTTAATGACTGCTTGACTCTGGTCATGTCATCTCTAGTTCCTCTCCAGCATCTCCTTCTTCCTCTCCTCGTGCATTCTCAATGCACAGTATTCTGCCTGCTGTGCTCTGACTCACATTGCTCTCTCCTCCCTTTTCCTTCCAGTAGAGTGAAAGTTTTTTTTTTAATTCCTTACATCACATCAGGATCCGTTTATCTTTGTGCCCGGCAACAACATTGCATCCCGTTGAGACGGATGGAAGGACAGCCTGTGGGTAGTCCAGCAGGCAAAGACAAAAAAAAAAGAGACGCACTTTCACCAAAAGAAGTCAGCCTTTAAACGCCTGTCTGTTTGCTCACATGTCTTCTCTCCTCTTGAGACAACGGAAGCGACTTTGCACTTGCTGTGGTCAGAGATGGAAGTTTATCCCCTACTGATGTTTTTTAAACACATTTTTTATAGCCCGGAGAACAAAAAGAATAAAAGCTGAAGCAGGGGTAAATGTTGACTGACATCACACTAAAGAGCCTCCTTGAGAGGGACAGAGAAGGATCGGAGAAGAAGCATATAGGGAGATGAATGCTATTAAAACACATGCCCCCTGGGATCGGTGGAAGGGACAGCAGAGGAGATATGGAAGGAGGAGGCAGATGGAGGAGGGGGCCGGCGGTTCTATGTGGGTTGAAATGTGGAGATGGTTGTAGATGTGGAGCCGGGCTTGAAAGAAAGAAGGAAAGAATGGATTGATGGATGGATGAGTGGATGAGAGCCCATGGATGGAGGATCATGGCGGATAGTGATGGTGATGTGCGTGTGTGTGGATGGATGAATACCTTTGAAGGGTTGACTGTTCTTCTTCTTTTTCAACCCTTTATTGCAGCTGTCATGGAAAGAAATTGCCCCCCAGTCGTCAAAATCAATTATATATATATATGCTCCTCCAGTCTCAGTCTGTGCTATCACCAAAATGCAGCATCCCTCTTCCCTCCCTCCAACTCCCCCAACCTCCTGTCTCTCCCACTCTGTTTCCCTCCTTCACCCCGTGCTCCCCCTCACACACTCCATTCGCTCCCATCCTCTCTACATTTTGTCCTTCTCACTCTCGGTTTCCCACTTCTCCTCCTTCCATTTTCTTTCCTCCTCCATTTCCTTCCTCGAACCCCCCCCCCACACACACCTCACCACCTCTCAACCTCCCTTTCTCTCTCCTCATGCTCCCCCTCCCTTGCTTAAAGAAACTTCGAGAACAGTGTGGCCAGGCTCTCCGAGTTGAAAGCTCTTAGGACACGTGAACACCATTCATAACATTTCCACATGAATAATACACAAACAATATACACAAATCTCTCCTACTCATGCATATGTGAAAAATACACGTACATACTTCCTCGTCGCTCGCTCTCTCTCCATCTGGCCGACAAAAACAACCAGACATCCTTGCAAAGCATACACATACAGCTTGTATTATGCATGTACCTGAGCAACATTCCCACTGCCGCCTCACACACACACTGCAGACGTCGATGGAGAAGGACGTTTTTCTGCAGCACGAGAACATCGGCAAGTGTTCATCTGAAAAGTACAGTGCACATGCTCGGTAGGGAATGCACTCATTTCAAATGGAAATTCTGTTTGACAAATAGCGACAATCATCTCCAATGTTTGACCTGGGAAAGTTATAGTGTGTGTTTGTCTGCATATTGTGTGTCCAGGACTGTGTGTTGCTCCATATTGAACATTTGCGCATACATGTGTAAACTTTAGCATGCATCACAATGTTCTTTGTGTGTGTGTGTGTGTTCGAAGCTGTCTTTTTGGCTTCTAGCATCACCCACTGCCACCATCTGTCTTGCGAGCCAGATGGGAAGAGTGTGCGTCCGCACAAATTTCTGTGTGTGTGCGATCGTCATTACGCTGGTTATCATTTTGTAAAAGTAATATTTGAATGTTTCTAAAGACTTCCATAATCTAACCTTAGTGTAGAATTAATTATTTCATTCTTCTTTGGCTTACTGCCTCTGTAAAAAAAAGTTAGTAATTATTTCAGTACTTATCTTTTTAATTATCTCAAATATTTTACATTTTGATTCACGGTTCATATCCCGTATGTCATTAGCTCTGTTAAAGTAGCTGATAATTAAGCTACACAGATTCACAGAACCTATTGCAGCAACTGTCTGAACACAAGTTTGGTTATATTAAGACAAGATCACTTAACTTTCAAAGGTGCTGCAGAACTTGTCTTGTAATCAAACGTTTGAAGTTGTCGTGGTTCTCACACTTCAGATGAAAATGTGTTGTCTTAAACTTTTTGTCACAAAAACCCACAAGTAGCACGGAAAATAAAGTAATACCATGCATCCGTTTTTTGTATGAGCAATCAGCAAACTGTTATTGTATACGCGATTGTTGATTTTTTTTGGGCGGTGCCCAAATCGGTCGCCTGCTAAACATTATTTAGATGGTCAAAAGGTGTATTTCTTCAATTCATCTTTCTTTCCAGTTCACATTCATGCAGCCCATGTGTAAAAAAATGTCTTGCTTGACAACACTAGTCAAAGATTACATTTAAACCTCAAAGCCCTCTGTGGCTCAACAAATATACTGCAGTCTGGTCAAAAGTCATCTAAAAAACTACAGGTATCTAATCATCTCCTCTTACAAGTAGGATTTGTTTTAAGCAACATAAATAATATGACACGTATTGTTGGTGTGATATTGACATTCAAGTGCATTTTAGTAGCTGAGATTGGAAACTGGAAGTGAAGAATGTCTCTGCTTTGCAAATTTAAAAGTGTCTTTGACTTGAGGTGGTAAATATTGTAGGTGATTTCAGTAGGAATATAAGGGTTTGGCTTATCCCAACTTCCCTTCTCTTCTACAGTGACAATTTTAAATGATTCCCCAGGGACAAAGTGTCAAAGCAACGACAAACAGGAAGTGGGATTTCAGCAATGCCTTCTGTGATCATTCAACCATGATGCATGCGTCGGTGCCTGAAGCATCAATGCATTGTTTTTTACACAAAAAAAGACCTTCTTTGGAGTTAAGAGTGACAGAAGTATCACTGTAGCACTGGTAACACCTTTTGATGGCTCACTATTTATTCTTGTATTTAAGTTGACCGTCAAGAAGATCTTTACAGATGTAATAGTCCTTACAGATGAATATACTGTCATCGCAAGGCCCACTCAATATCCATCAGCCATTCATTCCTTACAGTAAATCTCTGTGGTCTCTGCTGCAATATTCATCCATTTAGGGCCTGAATACATTTTTGTGCCAAATATGTCACTTCAAGTCATCATGGCTGCAGCCTATTTTTAATTTTAAAGGCTCCTCCTAATGCGACAGAGGAATACATCTTCTTCTGAAGCTGAAATTCTGCCTGACTGCCGATCCACTGTGATTTTTCTCATCATATTCATCATCCACTATCTGCTGGATTCACTGAAGAGAGTGCGCTTTAACTCCGCTCGTATTGTCTTTCTAAGAGTCTGCATGTGTATCCAAGATCTGCTTGGATACATTATTGAACATCCAGCCAACCAATGGAGGCAGAGCAACTACATTTCAAGTAAACAGATTTCCAGTTACAGTCATTTTCTAATAAATTAGACTAATAAAAGAAGTTTAGACTCATTTAGAAAGAATCCCTCTCACTGATATGAACCCGTGGTGTTTGGTTTCTGACTTGCTGCCGTGCCGCCTTCCTTCGCAATCTGTGCAATGCGGCACCTTCCTGCAGGGTCCTCAAAAGGTTAGCGGATGCCTTTATTTGTCCTCTGTAACCCAACGACTACTGTTGAGTCAGGAAAGGTTGAAGGAGAGGTGGACTCCAGCTTTGTGAATGTGTAACTTTAATGCTCTGATCCTCCAATGGTCCAATGATCTTGGGGGTCTACTTATAGTTTGGTCAGTGTATAACACCTCATTGTGGCTCAGACATGCATTAGCTTAATAGGCAATTGTTGTATTAAAAAAATCTAAACTAAAACCGCAGAGCTGCAGTTGCAGCGAGCAAATTGTGAAAAAGAATTCTCATTAGTTCCCACTGAGGACGCCACTTTCTCTTAGGCTTGCACCGCTGATGGATCTTGATACTTGACTGCCTCCCTCTGGTTTAAAAGCAGAAGTAAACATTATAATAGACAGTATAATAGACCGTCACAGTGTATTGTATTCATATGTATGTGTTTGTATGGGTCATTTACATTACATATTTTCTCTTTACATACATTCTTTAGCATTGGTAACATTGAGGGCTTAAATTGACCAAATTTGTCCTTATTTATTTACTTATTTGGTCAGTGCAATCATGTTTCTATATTATGTATTTATTATTTCACTAATCCAAGCAGGATTGCTTCAATTTGCAATGTTTTTGATGTCAACTGTCGAAATCTTAAAGATATTTTAACAGATAACATTTTAATTTCCCTAAGATAACTGACGACGACAGACAACAAACCTAATAACAATATTGCCATCTAACCGCGCTCTTGTTCAATCAAACAGTGGCCTCAGTCCGCAGGGTTTCCTGAGATTTGTTAACACAGTGGACGACTGAGGGAATCAGGTAACCCTGGTCACCGTCTCACTCACAGAGCCATGTGATGGGAAGGACAGTTATACAGGGAGAGTGTGTGCGCTCGCTGGGTCAGAATGAGAGCTGTCATTCTCCAGCATGGAAGGCATTGACAGAGAGTAAGTTTGAATCCAACCCAGACACTCAAAGTGCACTTAATAGTGGAAACATTTAATTATGTTCATCATAAAGAATGTCCAGCATTTCCCTCTTGACTTTTTTCAAACTTAAAACACAAAATGCTTATTTGAAAAAGATTTTTTTGAAAATAGACCTTCTGAAACTATACAATAAAAAAATACAAATGTCTTCCCAGAACACACTTCATTATTCTAAGATATGCTGTTTGCCTCATGCTCGTCTAGAGAGTATCAAAAGAGAGAAGAAAGAAACAATATGATTAAAGTTTCTCCATCACTCACTCAGTCACTATTTGAGCATTTGAGTTTATATATATATTGATCAACACTTATTACACATATTATATATATTAAGTGTGCGTCCTTTGCTTGGCACCATTATTTCAAATGAAAATGAACTCACAACATTCACTAAAAATAATGAAGCATTTATATTCTTTAACAAATGAAAGTCCAAACACTACAATTAACTATATTTAGATGACAAACGCCTTCCAAAGGCATCGTTAAGGCTGCCAAAGCAATTTGTCTGAAACGACTTGTTCCATTATAACCTATAGCTGTAATGAATTCTGATGGAAGCAGGTTCTTTATTGCACGGTGGGGGAGAATGAGTGATTGGCATATAAGGTCATGAGATTGCCTTGGCGAGAGGTCCCAGACTGTATATTAGACGTGGAGAAAGTCACCACGACGTCACCCATCAGTTTGTGGAAGGTCAGTTGGAAGCCTCGAGGTCGGCCTTTTGGCCGTCGGCCATCTGTTGTTTTTTTTGCAGCCAGATTTCCCTTTTCGGGCCTAGAGGTTTCTTCCTGAATGCTATCCAACACAATGATGGACGTTCACTTTTTCACTGTGATCTGTAGCTTTTAGGTTCTATTTTTATCTTTTTAACCGTTTCCATCCTCTGAATCACTTTGACACCCTGGATGTACTATTCAGACCCAATTTGTAGATCCTTCTCTCTAAATTCACTTTTTAGGGCTCATCAAAGGCTTGTATAGTATCAGTGAGAGAGTTTTAGAGAAACTCTAAAACTCAATGCTCCTCCTGAATTAGTAATAAAATCAAACCGTATATGGCCATTTTTTTTTGCATTTGACTGTAGCCGGGAAATGATGAAGGTAAAAACAATTTGAAATCTAGAAAACATTAGAAAATACAATCATAGACATGTAAGCAAACTGACATCACCAGTAGTCTTTAATAACTTTTTATACCATCTTTAAATTCTTGTCAAATAGTTCTCAATTTTTCCCCCCCCTCCTGTCACTTTCTGCGTGCTTCTGTCTCCTCCGCTTCTAACCGCAGATCACCCCGACATCTTCCCCGTGGGAGCAGTTGTGTTTCCCCACCCGGGATCTTCTGCACTCCAGCAGCGATCTCTCCCCGCCCTCGCACTCCACGTCGTCCAACAGGATCCTGACGCTGCGGTCGGCCTCGCCCAGCGCGGCCCTCTTCATCACCGCCAACGCGCCGGCGAAGCCCAGCTGTCGACACACCACGCCGCCTGCTTTGCTGGTGAAAAGGTCGTCGCACACCGTCCCCCACTCGCCTCGGATAAATATCTCCACTCGCCCTCGGCTTGACAAACCTTCAGCGCTCACCAGGCGCACCGAGCCGGCCCGAGGCCCTTTTTCTCCTCTCCCCCTCTTGTGGCCGTTACCTCGTCCTCGAGGCCTCTTGTGCACTTGGTTACCGTCCCCGCGGCGTTCCGGCTTCTCTCCGAGCCGCAGCCCGTCTTCCCGTGATTTGGGAAGAGTTGTGTTGAGCGGCGGACTCTGGCTGCAGTACGGCGCCCGAGCTGTGGTCAGAGACACGCGCGGTGGTTTCGGAGCTGTGGCGTGCGGAGGTGGTGGTGGTGGTGGTGGGGTCAGAGGTCGGGAGGTGGTAAAAGGGCTGTGCTGAAGGGGTTTCCAGTGTCTCCCGTTGGGAAGGGTGGCGATTGGGATTTGAGCGATCCTAGAGACGGCTGCAGTGGCGCCGGTTGTGCGATAACCTGATGGAGAGACAGAATCACCCTCTTTATATGTTCTTTAACAGTGTGCTGAAGGTGTTTTTCCTTAAAGTATTAGTTTGAGATTATTTGCTTTCTTGGCGAGTGTGAGATGAGAAGACTCTTCTATTCACAAAGAGAGGTATTAACCTTCTCATCATTGACTGCAAGAAAGCACCTTCCCCAATACGTCAGACATATCTCTAACTACTGAGTTGCTGAGCTGAGAGTGTTTCACAAAGCTGCAATGTCACTAAAGCCAGCGTTATCCTTGACGACAGGCGAGGAAAGACATGAACACAGACACACAAGGATGAATGTCCAAACTGAAGCTGATGCAGAACCATTTATTCAAAATGCCAAGGTACGCGATTTAAATTAAAGTACTACGCAAAACATAAATATAAATAAGCAAATAAGCTACATTTATCCTGCTTTTAAACTCTTGTACCAGCCAAAGAATATAAATATATTTCAAGCAGGAATTAAACTAAGCAACACTAGCTGATTTCCCTCTACCTGAGTTTGTCTAGTGGGAAAGGCTCATGTGGCATTTACATGGAATGAGGCCGACGAGAGCCAACGTCCCTTTGGACAGCTACAGGGAGATAAACTGACATACAAACACATGATGACATGTTGTGATGGAAAAAATGTATTAAATACATGTATGATTTGTATCATCACAGTAATTACCGTAATGTAGCTTTGAAATGCAGCTGTCTCTTAATAGTCTACAGCAAACTCCAGGTAGGTGCAGTTATGGTGCAAAGACTGATAAGAAGCACAAGCAAAATGATAAAATTTGATCTAACCTTTTGGAATTCGTTCACGGTTCTCTCAAACACCGGTTATTTTTCCAAAAATTTATTTTTCAAAAAAATTCCCCTCACCCGGTCCATTCAGGCCCCCCGGTTTAAATAAGTGTCCAAGGCAAAATGCCTGAAAGCTTTTTAAATTGGCGTTTATTTAATTATAACCGTTGGTTAAAAAAATTAAGTTTAAATATTTCAACTCCAGGTTTCCCTCATTCCCCCCCCCCCCCCCCCCCCCAACTCATGATGAGGACCTTGTGACTTTCTTAGCAGCAGCCCGGCATGTACTTCTGTTCTTGTAAGGACAAGCAGTGGATGAGACAGATTGATGGCTGTATGTTGATTAATGGACTCTCAGAAGTGGTAATAGAATTAAATAAAAGAGTTAGAAAGAGAAAATTACGTATTAGTATTTTTTGTGGCACAAAAAAAGAACATAAAATGATAAATATCTAACTGTGTCATTTATCGGCCCTCCTAACTTTCACCCTCATTAATTCACGACTCTTTCTCTTTCACTCCTTTTCCATTTTCTCATTCCAAGAAATTGTTCCATTTGGAATCTTTAAATACATAACAGTTTAACAGCCAGAAGTGAGCTGTTATGAAAACAATTCACACCCTGCATTAATTTAACCTGGTAGGTAGACCAAAAAAGCTAAAAACCCATATTTACAGTTAACCAAATTCAACTCAGCTGTCAAACAATTTATATTCATTATTTTCATTCATTTATAGTTTGTAGCAAAGATGTGCAGCATCGTTTTTCTAATTTCTAAGTGGCTTGACTTTTTCTGAATAAAATTCTTTTAAATTATCCAAGGAAAGATAATTGCACAGATGTAATCTAATTCAGCTATTAGCGTGTTAAAATGTAAAGCAAAAACTGAGCGTAAAGAAAGAAACCGCTTGCTCTGATGCTGGTTGCGTCTGCCTGCAGCACGGTGTGCACCAGCATACTGGTGGCTTTCACGTTAGTACGGCCAGCGGACGTAGTCGGTGGGTCAACAGTGGAGCTTGTGGGTGAATAATCAGTGGAGCTGGCTTGGTAAACGGGTGCACCAGTGGGCCTACCAGTGGCTGAGGTGGTGGCGGGGGTTGTTGCCGTGGTCATCTGGACAGCCGCCGGTTGTGTTGATGTCGCTGAGGTCGTTTTTCTCATTGTTGTTTTTCTTGTTGTCGGTAATGTTGTTTTTCTTGCTGTTGTTGCTGCTGTCGGTGGTTGTGGCTTCTGTCTTGTTGTTTTCCTTGTTGGCATCGGTGGTTTTATTATTATTATGGGTGATTTTCTCCTCGGTGTTGTTGGTTTTCTTGTGGTTGTCGTGGGTACGGGTGTTGTAGTTGGTTTCTTGTTGATTACAAACTCTGTAAACAAGAAAGACATATTTTTAATCAAAAAACCTATAAAGGACCCAGGAGTGTAACAGAAGGATGTGGAAGAAACGTCATTTTAAGATTTTCTAACCTTCTTTGGGGTGGAAGTGAATCAGTTTTCCCTTTATCTTGACAGGCAAAGGCTTGATGCTGCATTTTCCTGGTGCTGCTCGTCTTTTGGTCAGGAGAAAAAATAAGAGCATGTGTGTATTCTATTCTATACTTTTAGTTTAGTTATTTAAAGTTATTCTACTCAATTACATAAGACCAGGTATTCTACATTAGACAGGATAATTGGCAGGGCTGATACGTCAGCTGATGTTAGCTTATCGCTGATACATACGTGTGCATGTACGTCTCTACACACCCCTGTAGGCATGATGGACATGTATTGGCTGGATGTTTTGAGTTGGTTAGCTACCTGGAAGTATCCACTATCTTATAGATGACTCCGGCCCTCGCTGTGGCACTCGGGGATCCGGTGGCTAAGAAGTACAGCTCCCCTGGAAAGATGATAGAGACAAAAGGAAGATGGAGAGTCAGGCGGACGGACACAGGAGGTGATCAAAAGACAAAGACAGACTCAGCAAGAAAGAAAGATGGGGAGGAGAAACGATGGTAGACAGCAGGTAAAGAATACAGAAAGTGAAGAAAAATGGAGAAAGAGGAGATAAATTACAAGACAGACTCAAAATGTGTATTACGGTGAAATAGAGACGGTGTCTGTAAGGCGAAGGGATGTGGACTTTACTTGAACTGTATAAGTACTCTACTAAATCTCCCACGGTCACTTTCAAAGGAAGGGAAGAAAATAATTCAGACGAGCAGCGTGTGTGCAACGATCCCTCCCGCGCACATCACTGTTTGATTCAAACCAGATTGAAAGTCCAGCTGAACCTTCCACTTTGTGCTTTTGGACGTACTTTAATACTGTCAACAACAATTCCAAAAGCTAAAAAAATAACACAAAATCCCTAACCATATAATTAACTTTACAAACTGCTTTAGCATCTTAATGACCCCTTTGATGTTTCCTTTTAATTATGCAACCAAAGCGTAGGCTTCAATGACTGTTAGATGTTTGCTTGTTGCTCTCACCGGCTTCGTCCTCGGCAAAAGAGATGATGTATTTAAAGTAACTGTCAATGAGTTTGGGGAACCTGCAGGTCTGGCCTCTTCCCATGCAGACCTCATTGTACTGCCATTCACCCGAAGTGACGTTCTCCTTCAGAGACATCAGTCGCCTGAGCAGAAACAATGGCCCGTTAACGCAAACAGCACAATGACAGTTTGACAGTCTGATTTTACAGCAGCGCGGAAACACAAACCCGCTCATGAAGTCCCCAAAGATGTAGAGTCCATTGAGGTTAGGCATCTGACAGCCTCTGTAGACGTACCCTCCTGTCACCGATTTGCCCAACTTGTGGGGGTAAGCAAATATGGGCAAGATGTCGTCTTCGTGTGGACAGAGACAGACACAAACACATCAGTTTTAGAAAGCGCAGCTCTGCGGCGCTCACCGACATGGCGAGTAGAACGTGTGTCAAAAATGACTCGAAGCCACAAACTTTCAGATTCATTTTTGCTCAAATGAGACTCCACAGGCTTTAACGGTGGCGGTGCATAAATTGTAAAGTAAGACAATGTCAATCGTAAAAAGTTAAAGAAAACGTCCTCACCTAGCGAGGAGTTTTGACAGAGTTTGCGATCGTAGCAGCTGAAGCCTTCTTTGGCCCTCCATCCATAGTTGCCTCCTTCAAACAGACCAGAGAAGTTAGAGTTTTATACTCACAGAATTCGGTCTGGCTGTGATTGTGTGTCTATTTCGCCGTTGATGTTTGCAAAGATAAAAGTTTCACGACATGAGAATGAATAGACCATGACAGCCATTTCACGAAACAGTGAACTACTTGAAAATAACAAGAAACAAACTACAATCGTCATCCCACCTTTGACAATGATGTCCACCTCTTCATATTTGTTCTGGCCAACGTCACCACAAAACATCCGGCCTTCGCCTCTGCCTGTGGCGCGGTCGCCTCGGTCAATGGAGCAACGCCACATGTTTCGAACCCCGTAGGCATAAATCTCTGCACAGAGGGAAGAAAATCAATGCAAATGTATTCACGTTCACACGAATAAAATACATCCTTTGCACTGCTGCACACAGGTCAGATGAAGGTGCTTCTGTGTTCTGTGTTTTCATTTCATTCCATTCACTTGAAACCTCCTCACAACTCTTAACCGTTGACTCGCATTGCTGCAGAGCTGTTTAACAGTTTTTCGGCATTTACCCGGTCGAGCCTCGTTCTCCCTCAGGAAGGGGTTGTCTGAGGGGAGGCTGTACGGGGCGCCGTCGTCATTGTCGTCGACGTCAATGCGCAGCACCTTGCCAAGGAGTGTCGACCTACGAATACAAAGAGTAGATGAGGGAGCCAGAAAGAGTCAGAGAGGCTTTGAGAGCGAAAGGACTGAGCTGCTCATTGAGTGCTCCTTGGAGGCGGATACCAAAAATAAGTTGACCTGGAACTTGAGCTTGTGCTTTGCTTTTGAGCTGGGGCTTTTTTACAGGTTTCTTTAAACCGCCTATTCCTCTGCATTAAACGCAACCCTTTGCCCTTTCTCATCATAATTCCTCCTCATATGTTTCCATTAGTTAGTGTCCCTCAATGCCCTCTTTGTGCATCAATCTGAGCTAAATATTTAGGTTTGTCCTTTCCTTTCTGCGTAGTTTTCTCAATTTTTGATTTTCACTCGCACCTTTCTGCTCGGCCCTGTTCCAATCATTCATATTCCTCGCTCCCTATTTCTTTTTTTCCTACGAATACCAGTGTGCGGCGGTGCAATGTGTCGAGTAAATATTAGAGTTGACAGCTTGTATCCCCCCCTCGTTCCCAGACGAGCTGAAGTGTGGCCGCTGAGCTGTTGACAGGTGTGATTATTTTATTTGAAAATAGCTCAGGAAGGAGATTTTGAAGGGCTCTCAGACTCACCATTGGTTTGTCACAATTCTCTCTGAGTAAAATATTGAGGTTGTTTGCTATTCTGCTGTGAATTATTCTGTAATGGACTATTTCCTTTTGTCTGAAGGAAAGCTGCAGGTCACTCAAATGATCCTTGCTTGATGTTATGTAAACAATTTCATTTACCTTCTTGTTGAAAATACTGAAGAGACTTCAATCAAGAACCTTCATTTGTTAAATTGTTCTTACTTGTTCTGTGCGTTGCCAAACTTTCCAAATGGGTCCCCCGCTCGGCCACCGTCCCCGATGAAGATGTACAAGTACCCGTCATGGCCAAACAGAAGCTGTCCTCCATTGTGATTGGATGCCGGCTCTGCAACCTCAAGAATGGTCCTAAACCACAAAGTACATGAGAACCACAACTTAAAGATATTCCATAACATCTAAGTGTCCATCAACGAAGACCAGAACTGGAATCAGCCTCCTCCAATTGTAAGCCGTCAACTTGCAGTTTACATACATTTATTTCCTAAAGTTTGTCCTAAGCCATGAGTCTGAAAATAGTTCCCCCCATAGAGTTACGTTGAAAAAGAGTCTTCACTCTTTTATCTTTGAGCTTTATGTTTTTGAAGTAAATCAATGGTACGATTAGTCCTTATTTAACTAGAGCCTACAAGCTGTGAAGGCACGTAATAGCTGAATCCAGAACATCTGTAAACGTCTGCCCTCACCTCTCAGACGAGTGGTCCACTTGGTTGTCATCATGTGTTAGCAGCGTGAACTCGCTGATCCGGATCCTCTCCTCCTTCTTGACCGACACGGAGTAGTACACATAGGCCTTTCTGACCACACTGATCCTATACGCACAGAAAAGAGGCAGAACAATACTTCCCACTTGGGCACATGGGTGACGTTTTCCATTGAGAATCATGCATTTAATTAAGACGCGTGCGTGAACCTCGGGTGAAGGGCTATGCAGAGGAACCCCCTCTCGTCTCCAGCCCACGGCGACGTGAGGACGGCTCGGGTGAGGTTGAGGAAAGGGCGATCGATCCGTGAGCCGTTGGCCAGGTAGACCCACACGTAGCCCAGCTGCTCCGCCACCAAGAAGCGATGAGTCCCGTCGTTTGCGTGGATCATGGCCACCGGGTTACGGAGCCCGTTGGCCACCTCCTGCAAGCACAGCTCCAGACATCCTTCGGGATCCTCACGTACCGAGCCCAGGTTGGCATTGAGAGCTGGGGACAGAGAAGAGGAAATGAGAAAGGAAGACTGCAGTTTACTTGTTCCTGTAATAGATCATTATCAGCATACAAAAACAGAATGGGTTAAGGAGGTATCCGAGTTTAAGTGTGTCTGAGAATCTGTTCGTACAGTTCTCTTTCTCTTAAGTTTTGTAAGGTTAGCATGACTCCCAAAATGTGTCCCAAACGTATTTTCTCCACCTCTCAATTGGTCTAAATCAAATGTTTTAACTCTGCGTCGTTTTACATATGTTTTTTTTTTTAAAACAACATTATTTTTGCATCCAGCCAACCACATGTTTAGACTGGCAGGGAGTGGCAATGTCTGCACATAAATCATAATTATACTGTCTTCTTAGTGCAGCTTGAGGTTCTTGCCATCGAGCATTGCAATCTTTGTTCACGTTGGCTGTGTACGCAAGTGTGAGTATTAAGATAAGCTTATCTCAATGGGTGTCCTTTACAGCTGCTGAGCAGAAACATCTGTCCAACCATAACCATACCTGCATTTGTCAACACATTAGGATAGCAGTACTGTTTGTCCTTCAGCTCCAGAAAGTTGCAGAACATGGTGCGATCTTCTTCTATAGTTGCGGTGAGGTTTGCAAACTGCTCCGGACTCCCCGAGTCCTCCAGGAGGAGGCTGAGCGTGTAGCGACACTGCTGCCAGTATTCGGAGCAGTAATCGCCGCACAGTCCGGGCACCGTGCGCATGGGCGTGTTTGCATCTTCGGCATCATACAGGTGGGCAGCGTACGGAGAACACTCCTGCAGGAGGAAAAAATGATATTCACGATTGAAGTCAAAAAGAAGCCATCAATGCACCAGTCTTTAATGTAATCATTGTGTATAGATGGATCTTTTCTGTTTGCGCGTGGCTCCCCTTCAGCGTTTGTACTTATTGAGCCTCCTTTAAGCCGATGTGTTGATCTCAGAGGTAAAGTTAAAGGACATGTATGAATCACAGAAATACAGGTAGAGTGTACTTATTCCACCACAGCTCCTCACCGCCCCACTATAACTGGTCCCATCTGAGTTATATACAGGCTGTCTGAGACTGCCGCCTGGTATAAATGGATCCCAGGAAGGTCCAGTCAGTTATTAAGTCACAACCACACCGTCCACACCCAGAATGGTGAGCTGCAGGCACGGGAAGGCACAACAAGCAAACCCTCAGGCGCTTGACTGGCGCTCGCTCACTTAGTGCCACATCTCTCTATACGGATCATCCCCAGGAAAGCAACAGATCCCTTGTAAACAAACACAGATATGAAAAACCAACTGACCAGATGGTGGACTGATGCAAAACTTTCGATGTGTCATCTTTTGTCTGCCTACTTGACCACTGGGCTGTTTCTGTTTCTTTGCTTCACAGTGGCTGAGCCTGCAGTTTTTACAAATGGATATTTCTGCTGTTGTTCAAAACCGCTTCGTAAGATACTGTCACTGTAGACAAAAGTTCTAGTTGTGTTATGTGTATATGTCTCATTATTCAGTTGACCAATAATCTGCTGTAACTGTGACAACAATTTTACAGGGAAATCTTGGAAACACACTCAAACACACGGCTGCAACAGAAAGTCCTTGAATGAAAAGTAAAATACACACACAGAAGTGTGTATAACTCAATAAACAAACTGTGTGTGTGTGTGTGTTTCTACCTGGATCTTCCGATTATAAATCATTTAAATCTGTATGTCTTTGCGCTTGTCAAGCTCACAAATCCCTATACGACACATTATCAATTATTTATATAAGAAGAAGCAAAAGGAAGAAAGCTATGTATGATTAAGTTCAATTTACATTCACATGTGTGACACTTAACTTTGTTTCTAAATTAACAATAAATAGTTTTCTACAATACAATTTCTACAAAATATACCAAAGAGGCAACAGTCTTTTAACATGAAAGTGTGAGAATGTATTTCTATTTAGGAAAATGTGAGACACAGAAAGATAAAAGGTGCAGTGCATAGTACCCAGATTTGTCACTGGTCTACGGCTGGCTTGGTAGACTCGTCTCTCCTGTGACCCGCTGAAGTTGAAAACGAGCCATTGTCCATTGTTCATCTTGACTCATATTATCACAGGGTATGATGAATGCATGCAAGCAGTAACAGCTGTTCCCTAACAATGCAAACACTTCTAACTACCATAATTTGTGTTTACGCACACAGTTCAGAATAAACTGAAATTCAGCAGAAAATATTTTTTAAGACTCTGCCTCCCTGAGTCCATGAAAGGCCCACATGGTGATGTTTTATTATGTTTAAGAGAGAGAGAGAGAAGGCAGATTCCTGGTTCTGGAATGGACCCCCTGATTAGCTGGAGGAAAGGAAATCTGAGATGAATAGAAAAAGAGAAGAATCTGATCCTCAACTTTCCTATCAAACTGGCTGTGAACGCTCAGATACCTCAATTGTTGTCATTGCCGAGAAGGAAAGTACACATTTTCATGATCTTCACTGCTTTTATCTCTGCCTCACTTTTTGGCTTCCCCCTCTCTGCCCCTCTCTGGCAGGAACCTGATATATCCTGTACCCCTGGCCAGAGGAGGAAATAGTTATTTGTTTGGTCAGTTAAGCCGACAGTTAAGAGATGATGACAATCTCCACTAAGTCATTTTCTATGCCTCTCTCTCTCTTTCAGAGTTGTGGGGTTCTGCAAGATCTACACAACACAAAGAGCATATTTAGAAAATCTAAACACTTAAATATAAATAATCAAAGAAACAGCACCGACACAGCTCATTGCTGCAGTGCCCTTTATTTTTCTTCATAAGTTGTTAAATTTGGAAAAAGTTGACACTTTTGAGAAGATTGCAATCATTTAAGATCTGCGTCTAATGTTGTAGGAAACGCCTTGCAAGCCTCTCACGGGGACTTTGTTCTGGGCTCTGAGGCTCAAACTAGACTGTGGGAAGTGGTTCGTGAGCTGCACTGCTGTTGTTACACACAGTCCGCATCGCTTGGCTATAATTATCACAATGACGGAAATCTATATTTCAGGAGTTCAGTTACTCGCCTATGACGTTAAAATGACAGGAAGATGAGGATGAGGGATGAGTGTAAAAGGAATCCCAAGCACTGTAAATAAAAAAAAGTTTTTTGTGTTGAGTTGTGGTAGGAAAATGTAGGTTTTTTTAACTGGTGGTTTCCTGGCACATAATGGGTTATTCATTCGTGATTGATTTTTCCATAGAATAAAGACATTAGCAAAGAGTTAATTGAGATTCCAGAATGTCTGTTCATGTAGTTAAAGACATATTACACAATAACAACACACAATTTGTGGGATTTCAAAAAAGTAAATTGTGCCGTCACTCTGCTTTGAGTCTGGAGTTCAACTAGCACGTGTGTAAATTGTGCAGTTTGTGAATTTACTACATACATCGGCCCACAAGACACATTTCAAGCCAGTGAGTTCTTCCAGGTCGCTGTTAAAGGAAACACATCGCGATTAGCAAAAGTTAAGAATGCGGTTGAGCTCCCCAAGCACGAGTAAGCGCTGGTTTACAGATGTCAACCTCTGCATGCAGCCATTAAAGCGCATGCTAAGTTGGTCCATCATTCAGATGGGTTTTGTGATGTTATTTTCTTCCCACTGAAATGGAAATGGAAAAATTGTGACCTGACTAAACAAATTTCAAAAAACAGCTTAAAAAATGCAGAGAGTTTGTACTGCAAACATCCAGAGTTAATATTGGAGCAGTAATTAGATAAAACAATGTGGCACTACATATTCACTGTACAGCGCTACACAAACACACAGTGGAAGATGTGGACTTACATGGACTACGCTGTGAAAAGACTTTAGAAACAGGTGTATCTGTCCAGTACAGACGTGGTTTAAGTCACATACTCAAATGCAATTTGAGTATGTGGTGGGTTAGTGTGGACGCATATACACATACAATAACTATTTTCTAATAATTGAATGTATCCCTTACCAGGCAGAGGATGCTGCGTATGTACCGGGCACAGGTCATGTAACCTGAATGGTCAAAGTTGTCCATGATGGTGTAGAACCTGAGTGATATCTCCTCATCCTTTTCCAGATCACAGCATCCAAACTTGGAGTACTCCTTACAGAAAGCCAGCGGCTTCCGTGGCTCAAACGGGGGCTTGTAGTCCAAACACTGGGGGTGACAGCACCCCCGCCAGGCCTGGAGGAGCAGCAGCAGGACCAGGAGGAGGAGGTGCAGCACAGAGACGCGCTGAAGATTACAGGTCTGTGGGGTCATGATGTGAATGAGCTGTCTGTCAAATGGCTCAAAGCAGCTTGGGTGTGATATTTCACCGTATTGTGTGAGGGGAGGAATTCCTTGTTTGAAAATTCAAATGGGACATCTCTCACAACATCTGCCCAGTGCGGTTGCAAGACTCAGTTTAAGGCAACCGTGTGTGTGTGTGGGGGTATGTGCATGTGTGTGTAGAAGTATGAATGTGTATCAAACACACTGACCCTGCATCACACCTGCCAGCAAGTTGGCCAGAGTCAGGCAAAGCACTCAAAACCTAAACATGGTATTTTTTTTGGCAGGCTGCCCCTGTGATGTGTGTAAATAAGGTTTCGTGAGATCGTGCACGTCCAGTGAAGTCTTTTGGTGACGATTGGCTCTGCAGTGCAGCTGTCCCGGTGGTGTGTGGAGGTTTGCAGAACCAATGACCCAAAGTCCTGATGACGTGGAGAGACTCCTTGTTACTGTAGTAGTATCGGCAAAAACATCTGTGCATCACAACACAGTTTCTTGAAAAATAGTCCAAGTCTTCCAGTGACTGAAACAAATGTCCATCCCATTTACAAAAAGTTATTCAAATGGATGCTTAGAAGTCCTCAAAAAAAACTGCCCTATTGCTAAAAGCAAATCAGCAGGGAGAAAGTTGAAAGTCTCCCCTTCGCCCGACGTTTCAGCAAAAATATTTACTTCCAGCTTGAAGTCACTTGTGGAATCTGGCTGTGTTTGCTCTGGACATGTGCGCACTCGCTGCAGCAGACGTGAGCCGCTTACATAGGGACAGCGGGACGGAGTGGGAGAGAAGGCTTCTTTCATTCAGACACACAGCCACGCTGCAGAACTTAACCTAGATCCCTCCCTCCTCGCTTCTTTCCTCCTCCTCCTCCTCCTCCTCCTCCTCCTCTTTTACTTCACTCTTTCACTCTCCTACAAAGACACGTGCATTCCTTCCCATAGCATGTGGTCTATATTGCACTGAAGTTGCAACTTTCCACCTCTCTGCAGGCTCTGCCCCTTCAGCATTCCCAGACCTCCTCTCTGTCTCTACTGTTTCCAGACAGACTCACGGTTCTGTTTGTGTGTGTGTGTGTGTGTGTGTGTGTGTGTGTGTGTGTGTGTGTGTGTGTGTGTGTGTGTGTGTGTGTGTGTGTGAGAGTGACTCAGGACGTGGGCTGCCAGCAGAGACCAATGGACTCTCCAGGCACAAATCCAAATCCTATGTTGAAGAACAAAGCCGGCCAAAATGTACCAGTACTTGAGGCTGGAATTAACTTTGTGCCTAAACCAGCACGCTCAAAAACAAAATATAGAGTTCAAACGGATGTCCTTTTACGCGGATGTCCTTTTTTAGTTTTCTTCTCTAGTCCAAATTTGGATATTGTGTGATTTTCTTTACTGCCGATATAACATATAATCTTTAGTAACACTGGCCTCAATTTTAAAAATACTAATATGTTTTTTTGGAGCATGAAAGTAACATGACTGCATTTTAACCACCTTAAATATGAGGTACAAAGTTAGAATGAAGAAAAATGTGGCCATCAAATGGCTATTTAGTTCTGCAGCTCATATGATGTGGGGTTCATTTGCTAATTTGTGGGTTTTTTACTGTGGAGGCCTCCTCTTGGAAACTACACAGAATCTGCTTGTAAATTACTCATTTTTCCTCTTAAGAAACAATATCCAACTGAACCACATCTTTTTTTAAATGTTAACGAAATGTGACATTCAATCAAGACTAAAGGATGAGCAGCGTGTATATACTTGTGTTTAGTTTGTGTAGTGTGTGTGTGTGTGTGTGTGTGTGTGTGTGTGCATAGACACACTGCTGCCATCTGTGCCTCATTATTGCTCGGCCACCTCTCAGCTCAGAGAGTGACTCCCATCGGTCTGCCTGTCAGTCATGTTAACTCGCTACTCACAGATCTCTATCAGATAGAACGATGGGCCCTCGACGACGTTGTGTAACTCATCAGAGGTCTGATAGATTGATATGACCAAGTTCTGATAACTTAACACTTTTAACTTTTAACAAAACAGGTTTTTGGTGCATCAACGCACAATTCTCTTGTTTATTAAGTTCAAAATGTTCAAGTCAATCACACGTTGTTTCTCAGACGATATCATACTTAACCGCAGCCTTGTTTTGACTTTGAGTGAGATGAGTATTTCTTTGCGTCCAAAATGGATGAAGCTGTGAGAAGATCAGATCTGCTGAGACTTGTTCCACCTAACTATTAAAAATAATTTCCTGCCAACAGTGTTCATACTGAGTCAGTGAGTCAGTCTTTACTGGAAGTGACACACACACATAAATAACCCGAAGGTAACTAACCACACGGACTCTCAGGCTTTGTGTCTCTTATCTTTTTTTTTTTACTCTCCTACATACACGTACCGTCAGTGAGCTGTTGCTGCAACTCTTGAGGTCATTTCCTGGTGATGTCGTCCTTGAGAACGGTTGTGTATAACACACACGTACACATTTTCATAGTCATAATAGATAATCTAGTTGCAGAATGTAATAACTATTTAGCCTGGGGAGCTGTTTGTATTATATTTGATACACAAGTTTCGACTTCATCAACAACGTCAACTAGCGACTATTTTTCAATGTGATCACACCGACGATCCTTTCTCCACTTTGTTATGTTATTTTTAGTGCCCTTCCTAACTCCTGGACCACTACACCCATCTTTAAGCTCTGCATTCATCTTGATCTCGACTACACACTGCAGACTTTCATGATCGCATCTTTTACTGTCGTGATGACGTCATGTAAACGAGACGATAAGCTGTCTCCACGACCACGCTGTGCACTCGATGAATCACACAGTCACCCAGTAACGTTGTGATGAGAAGGGAAAGTTGAATTTACTCTTTCACCAACTGGTCTGAACACCTCAACTCCTGCTGCAGTGTTTTCTAGTGCACAGAGTTCACTTCTCTCTCGCTATGGCAAAACTAAAGTGCCAAGACAAACTGAGATCATGACTCCCCTCCTCCTGTCCCACACCATATATGGACATCCAAGGCTAGTCAATAAAAATAACGTGTACTTTTCTGTGAGTCGTGTGTGTGTGTGCTGTGGTGTTGGTGCCTGCTGGTCGCTATGTGTGCAAGATGCATGAGAAGAAAAGATACATTAGACTTCCTGTGAACCAAACTTCAACGCAAAGTTAAAAATAATAGAGGTAGCATTCTATCAGATATTTGGTCTCAGCAATGGCACTTTGTCTTCTTTCATATAGAATTTTTTTTTTTTAATTCTGCTGGAAATGCTGGAAATGTGTTTACTGTTGTCATGCAATGCAGAGAACTGTGGGAGCTGCAACTTCTAATCTCTGATTAATTATTGTGTATGGCTGCCGGGTAACATATGGTTGATCGTCCTGCGCTCAGGGCTGATGAGTTGTTCAAATGAAATAATTTCACCACAACAGTCTGGCTCTTGAAACTGCACCTCATCGGTCTTCATCTTCATTAATCCCTTCCCCCTCCCCTGGCAGGGCCTTCGTGCTGCCAAAAAGGCAAGTGATCAGTGTTTTGGTTATTATGCAGCAAAATATGTTTTCTGTTTGCCCTTCAGCAGATAAAGTCTTGGCTTTTGTTCAAGATTGGCACTTTTACAGCCTCCAATAAAGGAAGATATGTTTTCTTCAGGGGTATATTTGGTCTAGGTGTGACATGTGATTCCCTCCTCAAGGTGAAGATATCTTTTATCTCATGAAACTTTTCTTTGGGATTTCTTTCCACATCTCAGGCTTGGAACGGCAAACACTAAACTCACTTGAATTTCTTTTTTTTCTGGTTTCATATCTCTCAAATGCCATAATTATCAATTTCCTCCACACCAATCAAAGTTCTTTATTACTAAGACTAAGAAAAAACTAAGAAATCTATTCATTGTAGAAAAGGAAATTGTGTTGAGTTCTTGACTGAGGACAGTTTTCAGTAAAATGAAAATAGAAACACAACATGGGACTTAATTGGGCCTAATCGGTCGCTGTTAATCATATAATCTGGGGGGGGATTCATTGTGAGTGTTTGTGTGTTGTATGTACAGGACCATTTTGTGTGTGCATGAGTTCATTCATCTGTAAGTGTTTGAGGATCTCTCATCTCAACAGCGGAGCCCGGCAGGAGTACAGATGGGGTGTCAGTGATAGCCTGAAGTACTAACATCCAAATGACGAGCGCAAACACACACACACACACACACACAACGCACACAAAAAAAATCATGCAGGAAAAAAAAAGAAATTACACACAGAAGAGCATTTAGTCCATTAGAGCTATGCATTGTCCCCATCTGAAATAGATATAAATATAAAAAGAGAGTAACGATGGACGACGGAGAGGTGTAGCAGATAGAGGACATCGAAATAGCATGAAAATATTGTAATCTACGTGTGAATATCACATCATTCCACCTGCAGAAGTTTTACAAGCTCACATGTAATTTGATTACACGTTAGTTGGGACATTACTGACCTGAAATCACACATTTGATTTTACTGTGAAGAACAGGCAGATAATAAGATCAGTGCCATAAAATGCAACGCCACTATTATTGATAATACTGTTAAGATAAACTTCATCAGCTTGTTTGTTCCAATGTCATTGACGGGTTTTCAGCAACATCCAGGCGTATTCAGGGAGACGTCTGTTGTTCAGTTTTACTGAGTAGCAAAGGGGGGAAATATTTGTACTAAATTCTACTTGAACAAAATACAGAATAAACAAGTTTGGAGTAATGGGGGTTTTTTGTGATTAAGATGATGCAATGCCATTGCAGGGAAAATGCCACTGATTCTAAAATAGCTCAATTAAAAGGGACGTTAGAAGCAGTCATTATGAATTTAAAGCAAAAAAGTTTGAGATGATTCAAAATGAAGCCATGTCACCATTAGTTACCATTACTCACCATTTAGTCAGCGTCATTAGGACGTCCTGTCATTTCCCATTCACTGGTAGAAATTAAGACCAACCACTTTGAATTAATCATTGCATTCGTACCCATTCTAGGACATAGGAATGTGACCCTAATAAAGTGACAATTATTAGCAGAATAATCTTTATTTTGCCTTCTACAATTGTAAGGGCCTGTCTTGTAATTCAGTAAATTATGAGGAAAGGGGATTGGAGTTTGAATGATGTGAGTGTTGAGCCGGATGTGACGAGAATTCATAAAGAAACCCGAAGGGACAGACAGACAATCATGTCACATTCTTATCAATTTATTGAAGTTACATCACAGAAGTCAAAAGTCAAAAGGTCCACCTGAGGAACTTTTGGGCATGATTTAAAATGTACAAGAGAGGAAGTCCTCACATAGAAACTAATGCTGACATATAGAAAGAAATGTCATGGAGATCGAGATTCAAATGTCGAGCGAACCCCAACACATAATCATATATTACCAATGAACCACTGTATTTGTTTTACAGAGGTGAAAATGACTGATACTCGTGAAGAGGCAAATACTTTTTTCCATCAAGGAGGACAGTAAGGGGAAAGAGAGAGATCTGCTGGTTGCCATGCATGTAAAGTGAGGTAAACATATTGCTACAAGGGTAGCATCTTTACATTTCCAACATTGAAGTCCTGCAGTTTACTATCAAACCAAATCTCTCATATTTGCATAGTAATCCTTTTCTCGTATGTCCTCTCCTCTCTGGGTCGGCGAGTGTATGCACAACATGTTTGTACTGTATAACACTTTTTTTTGTTGATATAACGTCTTTTGCACTTATTGAATATGAATATTTTGGCTTTAGTTGTCCCAAAGGAGCCTCCAAAGCATCCTTGTCGTAAGTGCATCATCCAGTCCTCAGTGAGTCCCGTGGTTGCACAACTATGTTTTCTTATTGCTTTTTAGAGAAGTTTTCCATTGAAGGTTGAAGATCAGTTTGAATTTCAAGTCCCATGCCGTCCACAGGAGAAATCTTCAGTTATATCCATTCCATCTATTCAAGCAAAGGTGGACTTTGTTTGAACGGTGGAGAATCTCCAGCTTTTCTTCCACGATCCCCAAATATCCGGATTACCGAGAAATATTGAACTGCTTTTTCTTTGTAAATGTGGCTCCACGTCTGGCAATGATCAACAAAGTTTTCATTCTTCACGCGAATACATTCCCCATGAAGATGAGGGACACAGTGGCCCCGACGCAGCTGTGTCTCCGTGCGCAATCAGTGCCACAGTCTCTCATTTCGGTTTGTGGCAGACGGACCAGTCTGCCTGTCACCTCCCAGCTATTTTCAGTCCATCTTCTATAGAGGTCGAGGATGAGGATAACTAAAGCGTGTAAAAAAAGAAAAGACTCATTAGGTTGCTTTCTTTCAGAGCAAAAGTCAAAATACTGCTTCTCTCGAGGACATTTTAAATCTGTTAAGTTTTCAATTTCACAGGTAATTTCCAACTCCAAAATGTTAAGAAATACAGTAAAGAAAATACAAAATGTATAATTCCATGCCATCCCTTGATGGCGTTCATAACAAATGGAGGACACACCTTTTCTAAGTTATCACACAGTCCGATATGTTGTTTGAAAGCAAAGCGGCACTCATCAAGATGCAGCGTTTGAGATGTTGGGAGTGAAAACTTGTTGGAAATGTTGAAAAAAAGGGTAAAAATGACACAAGACAGAAAAAGGGAGAAAAAAAGGAGCACACAAGCCAGATGGAGAGATTAAAGATTGAACAAGCCTGGCAAGGACAGTGTGTGCATGTGTGTGTTTTGTACACACATCCATCACAATGTGGTCTGACAGGAGGAATGTGAGAGATGGAATAGAAGGAATAGCTCAACATGACACAAATCATTATACAACCACAGAGATTCATTATTTTAAACTAATCAAACACTACTAAACATGTATTTATTTTATTCTACACTTAATAAGAGCCAACAGCAACAGACCCTGTGTCAGTTCAGTGTTCTGGATCATTGCGTTTGTTATACTGCCATCTTGGGTTCATTTCCAAAGTCGAGGGGGGAAACAAACAGTTTTTTTTTAGCGTGTTACCTTTGGCATAAACCAAAGCAAGAAGTTCCATATACTTAAAAATATATATATATATCCACACACTTTAAAGCTCTTAATGTCTCAATTCATATCACTCAGTTTACACAAATTGCATTTTGCGGTCTTTATTTATTGCCCCATTGAAAACAACACGAGTGTGTTGTCACATCCCTCAAAACGCGTCGCCGGCATTGATGCTTTTATTTACTTTCAGAGTGTCTCGTGTATTTTGATTCAAGAACTAAAACCTTCCCCCGCGGGAGGACGAGCTCCGAGACGAGTTAGAACTCTTTTGATTTCAAGCAGAAGCACTTGGTGACAAAGGTTGGCCGCTGACTGGCTCGTCACTTTCAATGAGTCGTGTGACAGTGATAATGCTAACAACGTGTCAACAACAAAAAAAACAGCACATGTTCACACTGAAAGCAAAGGCCTTGCTGCTGCACGACCGCAACTACAGTAAAACTCTATCTCTCACCTCCGATGTTTGCACGGTGGCGCGGCCGTGCTTCCTGGAGACCCCTCGCTTCCACGTGCAGGCATATTGTCAGGGGTAACAAGGGGATAGAAGCTTTCTGGTTTGGAGGGTGTTGAAGATCATCATGTCCTCATCACGGATGTTTGCATGCTCCCCTCTCTGTGCTCAGTCGGGTCTTGTGGCAGAAACACGTCGATGGGATCTAATTGGTTGATGCTGTTGGACAATGACTGGTAAAAAGATCCAAAATGTGGTAGTAATGCAGTTGAATGAAATCAACTTTATTGTGGTGGTTTTAGATCGGTTTGTATCCTACACCGCCTCTCCGTCCCTTTGCCTGACAGTCATTGCAAGTGAATGCACCATCCTCCGTCTCCCTTTCTACCCCGGGTTTTGTCATTACCAATTCACATCTCAGATGACTAATGTTAAACATTTCTACATCCGTCCTTTCCCGTAGAATATACTTATGCGTCTGTTCTGTGAAATGATGTTCTAATAAAGTCAAGCGCGGAGATGTGATCCGCTCTGACCGCTCTAATAGCCGCCCTAGAACACACTTCCCTCTGGAGTAACGAGCGAGGGAGAGGAGAAAAAAAACAGATCGGAAGCTCATTACTCTGCCGAGGACTGACTGGCGATGGCGCGGCTTTCGCCTTCTGAGACGACGAAGTGCATGTGCAAACACGCGCGTGTTTAAACACACATGTAGTGGTGAGACGCCGACTGCAGGATTCCAATTCTGACTATATCGGCTTGAAACCACAGAATGAATCAAAGCATGCTGACATGTTGTCATTTTGAGACAGCAGTGAATGGCGGCGAAACCTAAAGAAGTACCACTTCTGCCTGTTTTCATTTTAATGAGCGGCCTCCGGCCTGATGACGTCGCACTCGTAGAACTAAATGATTTGTCAGTGCCTCTAAAATAGCTACACGACAACGCCGCTACTGAGGGTCTTCTCAGTTAGACCCAAAAGTGTCAGGAAATCTCGTTACATTAAAGCGCCAATTATGAATATATTGTATATTGTCTTTTTATTTTCGTTACTCTTCAGGATTAGGGTTAGGGGTTAGGGTTAAGGGTTAAGATTAGGTTTAGAGTGATATTTAAATTCTTCTCTTGCCGCCCGGTTTTAAGTTTTTACCCATCGCTTTTTGACCTCCCCTGAGTTCCTCTTCCACATTCCGCATCTCTGTTTCCTCCCTTTGCCACCGTCGGCTTTTCCCTTCCAGCTTAAAGAGATTTCATCTTCTCACTAACAACCGACGGCACCACCCGGTTAATGATGCATTTGGCCTTACGATGGGGTAGCGTAAACCTGACACAGAGAGCTTCCCCTGTGTGACCTCGCTTGGTAAATTATTTACAAATCACTGGTCACACACGGCCGAGTGCGACTCCTTTCTCGACGGGGTCGGCCTCCTCTGGGCTTTGTGAGGGCGCCTTTTGGTTTTTCGAATGCAAGACATGCGTGATCTGCGCGATTGATCGCTTTGGCCTTTGATGTGACGACGTCCCGTCGTAGCTATCAAGTGCATATATAAAGTTCCCTTTTCTAAAAACAAGCTACAGGGGAGGTCCAAGGGGGACAGTTGTCATTTCAACCTTCAAAGTCAACTGTCGTCAGCTGGAAATGAGGACGCCTTAAAGGAGCAGATCTATCGTCTTCATCATTGACTGCTGAGCAATGACAGAGGGTCTGTCGGCACAGCGAGAGCGAAGTTATTAAGGATAGCGTAAACAACACATGCTGGAGTTGAGCGCTTTGGTCGGGCATTGTGAGGGTGTGATAGGGCGTAACTCTCTAAATACTAAATCACGCACATAATTACAAACGCCAGCAGACAATCTCCCTCCGGCTTCTGAGCGCTCCAAGAGATCAAGCTACGATCTTCTCGTCTAATCCTTCTGACCCTTGCTGAGCATGTGGTGTGACCAAGACTGAATGGATTTATGTAACACCAGCTCGACTAATCAGCAAAGTATTGTACGTATTTTGTTAAGGTCCAACCGCTATAGCCTGGAATCCAAAATAAATACGTTTAACATTTTGCTCTGAGACTGAAACTCACTAAAGATTTAATATGGTGTGCACACGGAGGGTAAAATAAACATCCCTGTGACCAAATTAGATTCTCAAACCATTTAAAGGGCTATTTCAAAGACAAGCGTAACTCAATGTAACTGTTTTAGGAACTGTTTACTTTGTTATTAAAACACACAATTTCTGTTTTTCTAGAGGAAATACCTGGTTGGCGACAAATAATTGATGAATTAAGAAACCTGTTAATGTAATATTACGGTAAAGCTAAGGATAATACTCCTTATAATGTTGTATTTACTATATTGAAAGGTTGCTGGTGGCTGACAAGCAGAGAGAATCTATATGTTTAAGAGAAGGAACAAAGTTCTCCTTAAGGCATCTACAGTAACGCAAAATGATACGGCAGGATTGTCTTTAAACTTTGTGTAAATCTGTGATTTATCCAAATGTGTGTGTGTGGCTGTCATTGCGGATTTAAAGTAAGTAAGCGCTTCAGTAGTAGAAACGGATGAATCTGAATTGATTGATTGAAAAGTGAGATCTTTGTAGCTTAATGTTTTTGTTTTTCCCATTCTAATTGTAGTTTAAAAAAAAAATTCGCTTTAAAAAAATTGTAATCTAAAATTGAAGCTATTTCATCATTTTTGAAGAAAAATCTTTTTCCCTTAATCCGACAGCAGCACTACTGTTTGCTCCTCGCTTCCATCTGGTCAGAAGGCGCAGGCGCAAACCACAGCCACCACCACGATGTTGCCAATGGTCGCCAGCACCGCGATCCACAACCAAATGGTGTCACTGGACACCTTCCCATCGTCCTCTGCTTCTGAGGGCCGGGAGTAGCCGGCGTTGAGGTTTGAGGTGGACGTCTGCAGGGACGTGTTGCCATTGTAGGGGGAATCCATGAAGGCCCCGCTCACAGCCGGGAACAGCTGTCAGGAGAGAGACGGGGGGACGAGTTCAGGTCAAAGAGCAAAAGAACATGAAATGGCAACAAATACATTCTTGTTATCGCATCACCAACAAAGATCATTGATTATCAGATTGGATCAGGAGTTCTGATGAAAGTTAGATTCCCATCGCGTTCCCGAATGCAGAGGACTTTTAATTATTCCTCTCAAAAAGGCTAAAATTGGGATGCATTCAGCGATGAATCAAGGACAAGCGCGGCGTGAACAATAACATGTTCTGTTCGGGAGGTCGACCCAACAGCTGTTCCTCGTCTGAGGACAGCTTTACTGTACGGGAATCAATTCTCCGGATGGAATAACAAACTCTCACACGAGCTTGACATATACACACACACACACACACACACACACACACACACACACACACACACATACACATACACAAGGGATGGAAGAGGGAGGTAAAAAAAAAGTGAGATAATGAATCCTAAATTTATCTCAGCTGGATGTGTTTGTCTCTGGGGGAAATCCAAAACATGCATCTATCGAGAGAAAAGAGACTCCACCAGTTTAAATGGAGCCGTCTGTGGCAATTAAAAAGCTAAAAAGTCTTCAGAAGGACAAGGACGCACGCTTCTAGCTATTGTTGCTTCATCTCTCCCACACACACACACACACACAAACAACATCATCTTTAGTTTTAGTTCTCTTTATTCTTCAAAGTATGACACCTGCGGTACAGATGTGCAATTTGTGAACTCAGGTGTATGAACTTAATCTACCGTGAGTTTTCACACAAGCGCACTGAAAAGAGGGAAGCTCACAGTTTGATACTCGTTGAAATGAGTGAAATGAAATGGAATGAACAGCCCGATACAAACAGACAGCTCGGTGAGCATTCATAATTCAAGCTGAAAGGTTCAAGTGACTTTGACCCTCTTAACTTGTGGGTATTGTAGCATGTTGAAGCGCTGTCCTTTCAGTGCTGACATGTAGTGAGAAATAGACGTGAAGTCTGACATTTCTTGGAAACATCCTCTTGCCTCCAGATGTGGCAGGGTTTTTTTTAAATGATCTTTTTTTTGATAATGAAGATGTTTGATGTCACCGGGAACGATGCAAATGAAACCAGTGTAAATTTAATGGGGTGGTGAAGATCCCGTCATCATTTATTAAAGAAAGAAAAAACTCTAATTAAAGGCCGAGTTCATCAAAATCTTGCTTCAAACAGTTATTACTTCCACTGGGTCAAATTCCACAGCTTTGTATTCGCTCCTCAGCGCCTGACACTGAATCGCGGTGGCAGTCTTTTGTGTGTTCATATGACTCATTGGGATGGCAACCGACTCCATGCTTTAATCACGACAAACAACACTAATGACTCTCGCCAGTCCTTTTAACCACGTAACCCCCCGATCATCACGTGAATCAGCCAAATAAGCACCAACCACGCTTTTCACCTCAATTTGTGATACTCTCTACTAGTAATATCTACTAGCAACACGTAAAATAGACTAACATATATCAAAACACCATCCATGCTGTGTGCCAAACTGACACTACAAGGGTGTGTAGAGCAGCATATGTAAAATATAAAGCAATTTAACTGGGTTCAATCTAATCACATGACTTACTTTTAACTATATTCACAGTAAAAACTGTAAACAGTCAATAAATATCATTAACCTCCAGTGAATTCCAGGGCTGGTGCTAAAAATTAAACATATTTAATATACTTTTTTTTGTAAGGCAACTACACAAATCATAGCACACTTAAATAGAAAGAGATGATGCCAAATAAATAAAAAAGTATAATCCTCACTGTTAATTTATTAATCCAAAGAACTCTCTGCATCAGTGTGTGTCTGCAGCTGAGGTCATCCCTGTGTGATTATAAATACATTTCGTTTTGTTTATTCTGGGATGCTTCAGGCATTGGGTGAAGTTTGACCCCAAATGCTTCTCAGGCTTCTCCTGCGTCCTCATCCGCACGTTTTGCCAGCTGAGGATGTAAAGGGCAAATTCTCAGTGTGAAAGCAGCAAAAGAAGCTTCACTTTTGTCCTCACTGACATTTAGGAAAAGAGACACACGTTAGTGCTTGTTATCAGCGTTGGATTGTTACGTCTTCTCAGGGGGATATTTGAATGCTTTCCTACAGGCTCATGTTGAGTGAGGGAATCATTGGGGGGGTCACGTGAGGCTATCGCACCCCACGTGGCTGCCGATGGATGGTTCATAGGTCTTATAGAAAAAAAATGTAACATTGATAAAGAGAACAACTTTTTCTGCATCAATGGGCCTCACAAGTGTGTCTGTTTCGACTTTTACGCCCATTTACAGGACGGACATGTTCAACTATTTTCTGATATGTCATGGATTAAACCACTAATCAAAAGGACTGTTGATGGATTAATCAAGGACATACATGTATGATCATTAGTAGCAGCTCCAGTCCAATGTCCAATGTGACGTACATACATTTTGCCTCTGTGGAGCAACAGAAATATGTTGGCTCAGTTATCCAGCAAAATAAGTAAATCCTCAATAATTTTCTGTCATTCTTCATTATTCACGCACAACTGCGTCGTCTCATTCTGTAAAACAAAAACCGCTTGTGAATAAAACGACGGGAGTTTAAAATGTTGCATAATTTATAAGAAAACTTTTAGAGCTTTACATCCACTATGTATATTTAATTAACTGCCTCCGTGGGTGTTTCATGAGTGAAGGAAGTGCACAGGAGTCAACGTTGCTGTTTTCAAAGCATTCAGACATGTTTCTGACTTTTCAATAGTATCGCAGAATCCCAAAAAGACATTTTCTCATTAAAAAGCCTCTGCCTAGAAGACATGTATTTTTCTGTGAGCAAAACATCCCGGAAAGGTCATCAACAAAAACAGCAATAAGCATGAGCTTGTGCAAAAGTGACGTCACGCGCCTGGAAGACAAATACATAATGAGGTTTGTATTTTCAGCTAAATACCTGCTGCAGCCTGCAACTCTGCAAACTCAACTAAAAGTGTAAATTTAAATGGGTTCTGGATGTACAACATTATGCAAATTCACCTTTTCATTACCTTTAATGGAAATAGGTTGCATAGTTGATTATATGCATTGCAGATGTCTGCTTTTTCCGCTTAAATGACACGTCTGCTAACATTTGAACCATGCAACATGACTTCACAGAAGAATTTAGAAGCTGAAGCAAAACGTAGACCTCTTCTAAATATGAGGGTGTTTGTAGAGTTTTTGTAGAGGTTTGGTGACCTAATTAATTAAGGAAATATTCAAGTGGCTGCCAGATGCCAACGAGGCAATTTCACTCCAAAATCCCCAAATACAGGTGCTTAGTCAGCGGCCTGTTTTCAAACTCTCCCGTTGTCCCTGCAGCGACAGATTTGTACGTGACAGTATTCATTTGTTTACATTCATAGTATCTCTTCAAAATAAACTTGCCTCTTCACAGGATGTGAGGTTCAAGCAACAAAGTCACAGTTTTATTTTGAAAAAAAGCAGAGCGTCACTACTGCGAGTGACTTATAAGTAACCGAGGCGACAAAATGTCAACGTATACTTCAGGTCCTGTGGGACCTCAATCACCGGTCTCCTGGACAAAGGTCAATCTGTTCATTCAGTATAATATAAACATATAAAAAGAACTTTTTAAACTTCTCTATGACTGCTTCACAGTTTCCCTTTACTTTGTATGTTACTTTTTATAATGTCTAGCTATTGGTTGAGAGGACTTAATATGATGCTTTTTTTTAGCAACTCTACAAAGACACACACACACCAGTAAAGCAAATAATAAAGTGTGTGCATCAGAATGGAAAATATTCATATTTCATCTGTTTTGCAATACAATAGATAATGAGAATAAACAAATGAAATATATTCACACCATTTAGATTGGACATGCATGTACAAAAATAAAAATCAAGACACAACAAAAAAGTGTAAGATGAAGTGAAGCATCACGCAAACAAGATTTTGAGAATAAAGAAAACCAGCTGCAATAGAGTAAAAAACAGTCAGTCCATGACCCAAACTTATAATGAGACAAAAAAAGTTTATAAATCAACAGTCATCAGTCAACACTGAAAGAATAGATGTGAGGATTTTTGGCATCCACATGTCAAGTCTGATGGATCTTTCTTACTGTCGTCATGAAACACTCTCAAGCATCACAACAACATTACAGAAGTAAGTGCTCGTGTCACATCAACTCACACGCGACTGCACTTCATGTTTTATAGATTTCAAAGTCAGCAGAGAGAAAGTTCCTCCACTGCAGGTAGTTTTCAGCTCAATCTCACGTCTGAACGGCGACTGAATTACGTTCTCAACGGTTAAACTACGTCCCGCTGGTGGAGCAGCAGAGTATCACACACCCAACACCAAACACTGTTCACCCACAAAGACGTATAGCTGCAGGAAAAATGCCTGCAAAGTTTGTGCTGGGTTAGGATGCAGCAGAGATGAGAGAGAGATCAAGGACGAGCAGACAAACCAGAGGCCGAGAAAGGGAAAATAGATGGAAATACCTACTGCCGGCTGTCAGAGATGAAGGAGATTAGTTGTGGTGTTCCCGTCCTGTCCTGCACTCTGACTGAGGCTGAGTGCATCTAAAAGGGAGCGAGGAGGCAGCGCTTCATGAGAGGGAGAGACTGAGCCTCATGTGGGAGAGAGAGAGAGAGGCAGCGCACCATCAATGAAATAAATAAATGTACAACGAAAGAGAGCGAGAGAAGTAAGAGAGTGGTGCTGTGTGTGTGTGTGAGGGGGAGAGAG